TCCCGCATCCCGCATCCCTCATCCCGCATCCCGCATCCCTCATCCCTCATCCCGCATCCCGCATCCCTCATCCCGCATCCCGCATCCCTCATCCCGCATCCCGCACCCCGCATCCCGCATCCCGCATCCCGCATCCCACACACGCCCTGCCTCAGTGGAAAAGGGCACTGAGGAGACACAAAGCTTTCCTTGGTGTTTAACCACCAGCCCAGCCTGGCGACAGTGTCCTGGCCACATCCCGGGGAGTGAGCTGCCGAGGGAAGCTTCTCTCCGGGCTTCTGTGCTTTTAGCAAAGAGAGCAGCAATTGCCCGAGCAGAGGGGCAACACCAGGACTGGGGTGAAGCACTGATGTCACCTCAGCAATCCCCATGCTAAAACCAAACACGCTCTCGCTTCTCCCCCTGCTGCGGGTGCCAGCCACCTGCTGCAGACCTGGGGACACCGTGCCCAGGCTGTCACCCCGCTGCTGCCACCTCCCAGCCTGCGACAGGGGCCCTGCAGCAGCCCTGGGGCCAGGTGAGGAGGCATGGCCGGGTGTTCCTCATCCCTGCAAGGCTCCCCTCCTCTCCGGGCTGTGAGCTACCCCCAGCCCGCTGCTACAGGTGCTGCTGTTCCAAAACACAGCTCTGACCAGGGTGACACATCAGGAGCTGAGCCCAGCTCTGAGGCTGACGGGAAGGGAAAGGCACTCGATGCTGACGAGGCATTATAATAAGTACCCAGCAGAAATAAGAACCTGCTTATGTTTTAAACATAACATTAATTAATAAAGAAAAGGGTACACTGTAAATACTAAAAGCCCTCAAACACTGAGGAGAGAAAAAAAATCTCTTTTGCCCATAATTTAGAAGCTGCCAGAGCATGGCTCCCCAGACCTAGGATGACAGCACGTTTGGGGAGGGGACCCCGCTGCAGTGGCACACACACCTGCTGTGCCCCACTGAAGAAGAGCTCTCAGAAAAGAGTGTGAGGATAAAAGGGAAAGGTCATTTTCAGACCACACCACTCCATCACAGCAGCATTAATTCCTGTTGGTCCGTTACTCTGGATGAAACCGAATGCAGTGAAAAATGACTCTGTCCCGGTCTGGCAGTACACTTGGGCAAACCCATCTAATAGGTTTATTATAGTTTATTGAGCAAGGGTTAGCCCAGAGTAGATCAGAGCAACCACCGAAATGCTAAATGGTCTCAGAAATGGTGGCATTCCGGGAAGAATTATTGTGGCAGGGTGGGTAACTCAGTGTCTAGGGCCCCATGCTGCCTCCATCCCTGTCAGAAGAAATAATGGCCAAATTTCCTTCTGAGCCTCATGGCCCATTGGACTCATCTATAGGGGCCAGCCTGTCCAGCACTTACAGTACCTTCAGCTCCACCAGCCTGGAGGATCCTTTACAGTCCCTTTCTGTGAACAGATTATTCTCAGCATGAGAATCCATGATCCTGCCGCACACTGAATGGAAATTCCCTTCTCATGGTGAAGCAGCGAGTGTGACTGGGCTACAACCCCTGTGGGGAAAATGTGAAACTTGTGTCCCGACTCTTGGTAATGACACAATTAACTCTGGCTGGGAAAGATTTAAAAAACACTTTACTCTTTCTGAAAAAAAAAAAAAAAAGGTCTTGAAAATCCTCTTTATAGAGAGACCATATTTTATTACCAGACAGAGTTAACAGCAAGGTTAGTTTACTACACCAACATAAAAGTTAAATGCCCAATTACTGTCTCTGGAAACAATGTTAGGGAGAGAGGAAAGAGCAGGAGGCTCCACCAGCATCTGCCTGCAACCTTAACACCATCCTGCCCACCAGAGCCAGATTTCTTTCATTCAGTGTCCAAACCAAGGGTTTATTCTAGGAACACTCTCCCTGCAGAGGGAAGTTTCAAGAAGCCACCCCTCCTTTCCTTACAGTCCATTATTTATGTCCCTATCTTTTCAGGAGAGTTGTAGAGTGAAAATAGAGTGCTGAAGGGCAACCTGGGGATTTTACAGCAGCTTGTGACGTTTCAGTGCAGGTCTCCAGAATCCCCTTATTTTATGCTAATATAGGGTGTCTGTAGAGGGCTGTGGCTTCAGCCCCCCAGCATTTGTGAGACTCCCAGTGCAGTGCTTGCAAGCTTATTTGAAAACAGAGAGCTCTGCTGAGAAGAGGGACTCTGTAATCCTTATTCTCCAGCCTCTGCTTCCATCTCTTCTCAGCCAGTTGATAAACTTTCATTGCACCAGTCTCCCAATTACTGAGAATACGAGTTCTTCTGCATCCTACAGCAGTTTCTCTTTTGGATGCTCTGTTTCTCAGCAGAATGACTTGCAACATGCTCTCTTTAAGTGATTTCATAACAACCTGCAGAAAAATCCTGTACTTTTTTTCTGATTACAACCCCCACCTCCCCATAACTAATGCACTATTTCTGACACCCACAACCTGAATTACCCTGGTGCACTCCCACAGAGACTGTATCAGATGTATTAATGATGCCTCTGACTGATTCAGCCCCTGGTACAGAATCCTCATCCCCGTTGTCAGGTTGTAAGGAAGAGAGGTTTCCCTCACACTGGGCCAGCTGTCGCCATCAGCCTGGACAGAATTTTAAGCTCACAGCCCCTTTCTGGTATGCATGTGGTACCCAGAGGTATCTGCCTTGAGAAGTTTCCACTTGAAATACACCAGGATCAGGCATAGTTGTACATATTCACATGCATATAGGTATAAAAATCCCAGATAATGAATTGACAGGACAAACTCAAGTGAGCTTTGTGCTTAATGATGTTTCTAAGGAGTACTGCTTCGGCTGCTTGCAGAACTGGGGATGCCAATGGGGCGTGTAATTGAGGTCCCTACTTGAGGTGCCTTGCTGAGTTATTCCAGGGAAGTCAGGGAGAAGGAAGAAGGCCAGGAGAAATCAAACGTGACCACACTTTTTCCACGTATGACCATAATTGTTACTGTCACTTGAGTGATCTGGTGATAGCACGGGGCCTGATGGCTTCTGGTGCTACTCTGTATTAACAAAGAAGAACTTTGAGGCAACTTATCATCAAGCCTTGTCTTGCTATCCTTCCCCTCATCACCATTTTTTTTTTCCTTTGAGTAAGCATAGAAATTGCCTTTTTCCACCCTGTTTTAATTACAGGAGCTGTGTGACCCTTCCTGGAGCAGCTGCCAGAGACTGTACTAGTGCAGGATCACCAGGCCAGCAGCCTCCCAGAAAATATGTAAGTAGGTTACAGGGGGGTGGGGGAGCCTATTAAACACAGCAGGATCCACTTAACAGAGCACCTGTGAAGGGGAGCAGGCAGACAGAGCAATACCTGAGCACAGCTTTACTCTTTCTAACAAACCCTGCTCAAGCAGGAGCGTGGGAAGCTGGGCAGGGAAGGAGCTGAGGGTGTTTGGATGCTCTGGGCTGGGTGGTTCACACAGCTAACACCTCTCTGCTGCTGGTGGAGAGCCTTTGCTGCAGGGAGCAGCTTGCCCCAACCCCATTCCTTCTGTCCTGTCCCCAGGGCAGGGGACAGCAGCAGCGAGGAAAGAACCAACACCCTGGCTTTAGACCTGGTCTCCATCGTGAAGGCTTCTGGAGAGTTCAGGCAGACTTCTTTCCTCACAAAACATATTTAAATTCTACCTTTTTAAGGGTGGTGTTTTGACACTGCCCTAAATAGCTTAAGGACTGCCTCATCTTTTGGAGAGAGGTTCCTCTGCCCACCTGGAGAGCATCTCTGGCTGGGTAATGGTTTTCCTTCTCCTGACCAAGGTAAAACTGCTCTTAATTAAATGCAGCATGAGGATTTTTTTTTTTCCTTCAAATCTCGTATTTATATAATCTGTCTGCTGACAGATATAGCCAAATCAAACATCTAAATAGGATTAATGCAGGCAGCTTATTACTGGCTCTTGAGGAAGGCCAGGAATTACGGTTATCAACCATAACAGTGAAGTTGGGGTGTCTGACCTCAACAACTTATTCTTGAAAAATACTATAGAAATATCTTCTGAACTGGTGAAAAGTAATTTCATATTCACTGAATAACAGAGAAGAGTGCAAACTAAAATAACCAGATCTGAATATCAGGGTATATTTTGGTTTTTTTCTTGTTGACAGGATGATGAACATAATCATAAGTAAAATAAGTGTTGAGCCATATTTAACCCTCTCAACACCCCATCAAGACCAAACATAACTGTGTCAATCTTACCAAACATTAAAAAAAAAAGTCTGACCACAGAAAACTACACTACGCTCTGTTCAGTTTTGGGTCCACTCTGCTATTTGCAAGGGAAATATTCCGTGATGTGTCCTGCCCTCGGATGGGATTTAGCTGCAAAACGTGTGAAAAAGCTGCCTAGATGCCTCCTGGCTTACAGGGAGCCAGGTGGGGTGAGGTGTCCAGGACACTCCACATCAGGCTTATGGCTGGATGCGATGGTCCTGCACAGTTTTGTGTTGGGGAATGTAGTGCACAAGGGCACGGTAACGAATATGCATTTTTTCCACTCCAGATGGCTCACTCAAATTAATCCTGCAGTCAGTGAGACTGGAAGTACAGTTCTTACCTCCTGATGGTTACCAGCAGCCTGTCTGAACAGAGTTGATGACTCCCAGTGGTGTTCTTGATGGGCAATGTCTCCATCTTTTAAAATCACCCTTACAGGCAGGTGATTAGTTCCCTTATTGGCATTTTCACCTGCAGAAATGAGGACTGAATGGGCTGAATGATCATTTTGCACTGTAATTTATGCATGTAGTCCAATATAGCTCATACTGAGGATCTATTCCTCTTTTATAATTGGGACAAATTCCATCTCTAGAAGCTCTTCTTCCAAGAGAGGATGAAATATCTAAACCATCACCTGTCTAACACCATTCAGCTGGTATTTATTTCTGACATGTTCGTGTCAGTAGAAGGCTTTCCAAGCTCACAGAGATATTGGGAGGTTTCATTTATACAATAGTGTGAGATTGCCTGATCAAAGGCATACAAGTGGAAATCATTACTGTTATTTTCAGACACGTCTTTAATCACAGCCTCTCCCTATTCATCGCAATCATTGCAATTGTAAATCAGAAGTGAGCTCCCTCACCACCTGGCCACTTGGTTCTCTTTTAATTTCTGCCTGTTGCCTGTGAAATCTCTCCTGCATCCCCCTCCACCTCTCCGTGATGCGAACACGTGCACGAAAATTTGCTCTGATAGCTTCGCTTTGTGTGGATTTGTTTCTGCAAAGAGAGGTGATATTGAACTTTCTGAAGCTCTCCCACTAGGAAATGGGGATAGTGCTTGGAGCTGTCAATGCAAGAACCACTCACCAGTGCTTCACAACCTTGCTGAAGTGACTGAATTCTATTCCTATCAGCAGAAAGTAGGAAATGAGTTACAGAGATTTAAACGCGGGACTAGAGGAATTTGACCTTCTAACTACAAAAAGGAATAAGCTTGTTAACACCCTGTTTTCTTGATGATGTCTGTGTTTTTTGTCTGATCATGCACTGGGTCCCAGTGCTGTGGTAGCTTCTGGCCAGGAGAAATGAACTTTCTCCTTTCTGTTGTTTCTATGGGATTTGTGCACCTGATGTTGTGATGGAGCTGGTCTGTAGGTCTGTAGTCTCTCCCAAAATCAGTGGACCCTTCACTTCAAGAAAGGCATTGAAGTGTTGGGGCAATGGAGCTGGGGAAGGCTCTGGAGCATGAGTCTGAGGAGTGGCTGAGAGGGTGTTCAGCCTGGAGAGGAGGCTCAAGAGAGACGTTTCCACTCTCTGCTACCTGAAAGAAGGTTGTATCCAGGTGGGGTTTGGCCTCTTGTCCCAGGCAGCACGTGACAGGACAAGAGGACCCGGCCCTAAGCTGTACCAGAGGAGGTTCAGGTTGGGCATCAGGAAGAATTTAATGGAAAGAGTGGTTAACCCTTGGAATGGGCTGCCTGGGAAGATGGGAAGTTACCATCCCTAGAGGCGTACAAGAAATGACTGGATGTGGCATTTAGTGTTATGGTGTAATTGAGTTTAGGTGGTGATTGGTCAAAGGTTGGACTTTATAATCTCAGAGGTCTTTTCCAACGTTAGTGATTCTGTGATTCAATGCACAACCACTTCTTTTTTTCTCCTATCTCTGTCATCTGTAGGGAATTTGGGATGTGTGGCAGGTGAGGGTGGAGAACCTGCAGAACAGCCTGTGTGAAAGTGCCAATTAGAATACCCTGAAAACTGTGCTGGAGATCCACTAGGGCCAAAGGAGACCATCTACTGCACTCCTGAGTTGGTTTTTTTTTCAGAAGCTGGCTCTTTCATTTCCAAAAGGTTACAAGCACACAGAGTGGGGTGGCTTTGCCCAGCAGTACAGCCTAATCCAGCCTGACAATGGCAATAGAAATTTGGTTTGGTTTTGAGCCTGGTTTTGATTTGGGGCACTGGAAACCACGAGAGTGCCAAGGAAATTTTGATGTTGCAGACTGCCTTGGATGACAGCAAATCTCATACATCCTGACCAGGGAAGTGCCTCCCTTCCAGCAGCTGCAGGTACTGACTGCTTCCATGTGTTTGTCTCATTTGGCTGAAGGCCTCTGTGCAGCAGCTATTGCTGCTTTTATAAAGGCTAAGGTGTTTCCTACCTTCCATATACAGAAATCAGTATCTCAGGAGGACAGGAAGGGGAGGTGGAACCTTCCCATCTGAAATCACAAATTCTAGTCTGGGCCTAGGTCATCTGAAAGTTGTCATCACTTAGAATTTCAGCCTAGTTGTATTTGCCCTGCATGATTAAATATTCATGCTGGGATATTGTGCCATGCACGATGAGAATATTCAATGTAACCTCACTGGAAAAACTATTCTGCAGATGTAGTCAATGTCCTGCTGCTTTCTGAAATGAATTCTACATTTGTCCATTCTCTAGCTTCTCCCTGATAAATGTCAGACTAGTCCCAAATGTCCACATGCTGATCCCATTCCGAGAGACTGATTTTTTTACACACAACCACAAACCCGCTCCTTTTCTTGCCTGATAAGGCAAAGGGGGTAACATGCTAAATATCCTTCTTGTTCCCAGAGGTGGGTGATCCATCTGAGAATGAAGAGACTGCTGGGGAGCAAACCTTTTGCTCAGGATCACAGCAGAACAGCTTCTAGTGCAACTAGCTGATGGCTAATTTGCTTGGGGCTGGCAGCCCGGTGCTTTCAACAGCCTGAACTTCACTTAAAAAAATTATAGTGATTAAGTAAACACAGCTATAATGGAAATCTTTACTCTGCATATTACAAACCAAAATGGCCATGAAGGGAGCAATTATGAAATCTCAGGACTGTGGTGAGGGGAGGAATCGTTTGAGCTGTGCTGTTGTTTGTTTTTGTTCATCATTTATTTCCCCTGGGAAACTTGGCTCTGAAGCAGTCTCTGCTGCATTCAGAGATTCCTTACATTTTTGTTAACCCAATTTCCCATCCAGTCTTAAGCAAGATGGGAGGAAATATAAGGGTTTTTCTACATGATGAACTACCTTGGGCAAGGATTCCTAGACCCAGCTTCCAATTCCTACCACAAGCCCCAGCACAAGTTACACACCAATTGCCCTCTCTCTTTTTCTGTTAGTTGTCAGTGACATGACTGATTTTACAAGGACTTAAGGGAGTGGTGAAGACAATGCAGGAGTGGCAGTGTTAAAGCTGTGCTAGTGGGAATTGCAGTGATGATTCAGATGTGGTGGTCCTCTACCCTTTCTGGAGATCTATGATTGGTCCTACTGAGTCTTTGTACTTGCCTGATTCAGGAAAATTATAGTGTAAAGCTGCACCAGGCTTCCAGCTTCAGCTGATTTTTGCTGATGTTTGTTCAAGACCAGAGGGAAATTAGCTGGTGGACTAGTCAGCTGTTAGTAGAAAATTGACTGGGAAATAGAGAACACAGCAGAGAAATAGTTGGCAAATGATGTGATGAGTGGTAATTCCTAGGTAGCAAAAAGATTGATGCAATCCAAAAGCCCAACACACTTCCCAAATGTATATAATAATGGTAGTTCAAGAGCTGCTTCAAGGGCAGAAACCAACTTGGAGACCTTTTCCTTAACTCAACAGGCTTAAACAAAGAAAGAGAGTCCAGCATTTCCATTTGAGCCCTACTTAAAGGTGCAGCTCTATCAGCACAGGCTCTCAGTGTGGTGTACAAACGTGACAGCTAAGCAAAGCCACGGGCTAATTGTCTAACCAACTGCTAATTGTCAAAGATCTCCATATGAGGAAAAACACTCCCAGGTAAGGACTAGGTGTGCTCCAGGAATGGAGAGCAACCCCCTAGGAGTGAAAGAAGAGACCAGAAACGTCTGGCAATCCCCATCACATGGCTGTGCGTTAGCTGAGGAAGAAAACTGCCCAGGTAACCATCCAGACTTTCCCCTGGCATCATGGTGTGCACATCCCAGAGAGGTGGTGTGTGAAATAAGAGAACAAACTTTCTCCTTCCCAGGCAAAACACGCTCACTTCAGGTACGAGGCTTCAGAGCTGAGCTAGCTGGTTGCCAAGGCAGGCTGGAACAGCAGCAAAGTGGGTGGTGTCTAGGGAATAAGGGGCTGAGTTTGGTGGGAGAGGGACTGAGGGATGAAGGACTTCATTTTTAGGGATGGGAGTAAATTTGGCAGGATTTTGACAGCAGGCTGCAGCTCTTGCCTTAGCAAACCGAGCAAAGGAAAGTAACCAGAGTACACTAAAGGAATTGTTACTATTACTCCTATTCCAGGGCAATAATAAACCACATGCCTGCAGGTTGGTGTGAAACCACCTCCACATCTCACCCTCACTTCTTCTGGAAGCCAATTAAGTCCTTCCCGAAGAGATGCTACATGAAACAGAGGTTTTTCTGAGCTTGGTAATGGCTGTCACCCCAGCAATAATCATAATGAATCACACTTGGGCTCCTGTTGAGCTCACATTTTCAAAGAGATGTTGGTTCTCCATCCATTCATTAATATTAATTAGCATGAAGTCACGTTTCATTTCCCACTCATGTGTCCAACCTGCAGCATCCTTGTGTGTCCTGTGCTAACGAACCAGATGCCATTTACGGCTGGCACAAAATAATTAGCTAATAGTTGAAGAATACGTAGCTCAAGTTATTTAAATATTTATGCCAGACTTTTTAGATTTTGGCTCCCAGCCCTCATCTGGGGGTTGCAATGCAATTTAGGGAGAATATGAGAAAGTTTTCACAGTTGTCTGCAGAAAGCTTTAATTATACATTCTCCATATGGATGCAAATGTTTGATGTTATACAGATGTTGGCACCAAGCTGACCACCAGGTACCAGAGTAGAAATAGCAAACTTCAGCAAGCAGATCTAAATCTAACTCCCTTGTTGTGACTGGATGCTGCATAATGCAAGAGTCATTCCTTCACCTTCTGATCCACCCTTCTTTGCTCAGAGATCTCTTCTGCCAAACACTTCCAGCCCAGCCCTGCTCCTGGGGGCCTCTGGAGGAGGCTGGGACCACAGAGATGTTATCAGCGAGAGCAAGGACATCCAGAACTCAGAGGAGCTGGGATTCCTGATGTTCTGAGAAAATGAGGAGCATATCCCCCCTTCTGACTCACAGTGTCATGCAGGGATGTTTGTGTGTAATTTGTGGTGTGCCTCCCACTGGAGGAGCAGAGAAGGAGGTTGGCAGACAGGGATGAGACAGGGCTGTTAGCTGGATTTCTCCTTGAGGATATGCATAGAACATCTGCTCTGTTTACTACTTTATATGTGAATGACATTGATATATGAGGTCCCACTGAAGGCTGATTTTTGCTTAACTCACCTACCTCTCCTGTGTTCTGACCTTCCACTCTTAACAGTGTAGAGATTATTTGCTTTTGCATAGTCAGAAGCTCAGAAACCCCAAATTATCTGTAATGTCTTGAGCACATAATTATATTGAGCTTATCGCTGTGATTCCTCGGCGC